TCACTTCTCAGTATATCCTGTGGAAGGGCTTTGAGACGTCTCAACGACGTGATAAGGCTCTATATCAAATGCAAGCGTTGTTATTATAAGGGCTTTTAAGGAAATGCAAGGGGCCAGAATGAAAGTAAAACTCCTAAAGTGGAGACTGTTAATACGTATGGTTAAAAACTAGGATGAACAACTAACAAGATCAGCTGAAAATTCAAGGCATTCAGGACACATGCCCGTGGGCGTGATGTACAGGGTTGACGGTTTGGGATTCTTTAGAACTTCCTATTCTATCTCTTGCTTCAATATAGTTTCAGCAAATTTCAATAGCTGGAATCATGCCTGTACTGTATATTGCTTGCTGAACATGTATTAATTGTATGTGCTGTAGGGCCCTGTAAACGTAATCGTGTTCACAGATGAATTATTATCAGCAGCATAAAAAGGATGTACTTTTGCACATATAAAATGAAGTTATTTCATGCCTGATCCAGTAAAAAGTTCCGCTAGGGTAAGGGTCAGTCAGTGAATGCTTATATGCATAATCTGAAAACACAGCCTACAAGCCAACAACAATTTGTGTGTACAGCTGAATATTGTTAGGGTCAGCACTGATGCTCATTCTATGCTCATCTTTGACCATTTCTTAAAAGGTGCAGGAAAGTAATCTGGAGATGATTTTCCTTTCAATCCCACCCTCCCTCTCTCTTTCTCTGTCTGGAGTGGGTGTACCTGGCCTTAGAGATCTATAAATAATAATATTACCAATAACAGTCCTTGCATTTGATATAGCGCCTTATCAAGTCTTTGAGACGTCTCAAAGCACTTCACGGACTTCAATAGACTTTAAAGTGAATTGACTATATTTTGTGGGCAAAACGCAGCAGTCAATTGCGCACAGCAGCGGATTGAGTAGCCAAATTATTATTACTTTTAACTTTTTTTGGAGGGATTATCAGCCCTGGAAAAGTACAGTGAGGGTTGAACCTGTGAGGGTTGTGCTGGTGCTTTACTGGAAATGGTTTCTCTGCTAAACTGGTCAGTGACATTAGTGGCAATCAGCTGCACTGTTTTGACATTTGGATATGCAGGCAAGATGGCATGGCAAAGATGTGATAAAATGTGCAAGTGGGTAATGTGAGCTCTATCGATGACATAAGTAATCCACGATCCACAACTGTTTGCGGGGACGCTGCTGGGCTGCCGCGTTTCAGCCACAAAATATACAGTCAATTCACTTAACAGTATGTTCTGTGAAGCGCTTTGAGACGTCTCAAAGACGTGATAAGGCGCTATCTCAAATTCAACGATTTTTATTATTATTATTATTATATATTAGAAGTACACAGAAAGCATGAGAAGCCAGACAGTGCCACCCATCTGAGGCCACTTTACGATGATTGTTTGACTCGGAGAGCAGTTAAGTGGTTGAATGTTGATCCTTTTTTTTAAAAAAAATCCTGCATCGTTCTTAGTAACACAGTGAAACATCAAGATACTCCGTGGACAAGAGTGGACAAGTATGCAAGGCTAGTATTTCTGGCACGTATCAATGAACGGTTTAAGGCACACCCCAAAGCACGATTAATGCCAGCCTGCCTGACAGTAAAAGAACAATTTGTAAGAGATGGGGGTCGAGAATGGGCCAGTAACCCTTCCCTCAACTCTTTTGGAAGATTCACCGATCAACCTCATGGACAACTTAACCAAGTTGGAGGATACGGACATCAAGGAAACATCAGGTCCCGACACTTAAGAAATTAACGATGTTTGTCGTATTGGAGGAAAGGTGGTCACAGGAATATCATTGCGCACTAATTGAGATTCGTCACATTGTGGATAAGGAAACTGCAGTTAACAGGTCATACCAGAATATAAATTGGTGGCAGTGATAACCTAAAATGTCTTCCTTCGGGATATAGTGTCAATAGGGTACCATAGGATGCTCGCCCTTATTCTTTCTCTCTCTCTTGCCGACTGTCTTGGAGTCTTCCTTTTTCGAGTTTCTTTCCTTCTCTATTCCCTCTCTCTTTCTCTTTCTTCCTTCCTCCAGTAATCCAACACTGTACACTGGAGAAAAAAAATTGCTTCAAGTCCTCGCTTGCCTCAAACTTCCAGATCCCAGTCGTACTGCACAAGTCATTCACAGACCTGGGAAACTTCGCACAATTGCATTGTCTCACCAACCTCACAGTTCTATAATGAGATGATATTCGGCACGTGGATATGAAATGTTTTACTATGTTTCTGATTATTAATAACAATAATAAATTAGTCACTCAATCTACGACTGTTTGTGGGACATTACTGTGTGCAATTGGCTGCCGTGTTTCGCCCACTCAATTCACTTTACAGTATATTCTGTGAAGCGCTTTGAGACGTCTCAAAGACGTGATAAGTCGCTCTACCAACTGCAAGGATTATTATTATTATAACTTCTATTAAAATAGCAAATGGGTATCGTAGAGCATGCTATGAGGCAGCTCGAATAAATGCCTTTAGAACTTCATTGCATACAAAAGCAGTCACTACACTTGGCATTAGTTACTTGTGAAGACTTTGAGATGTTTTGTTTGAGATATTAAAAAAACACACGATCTTTCTTCCTTGAGTTTTCGGGATCGCTGTGGCTGCTGAGTTCTATAGATTCATACTTTTTTTTTAAAAAAAATGTATTAACCCTGTTTATCTTTTTTTTCCAAAGAGCAGAGTTTCAATTTAAAATGGGAGGCGGAGAGAATTGCCCCCTAAAGTGTACTTTATTTTGAGAATGTTAATAGAGTAGGACAGCAGTAGCTCAGACTTGTTGGCTTTTCTCCATCCCGCTACCTGGGCGACCAAAATATCCCCATAAACTGTCATCGCGGAAACAGCTACCTTTGATCTTTTGTGCATTTGTGCCAAGTCCTGTTATTGCCGAGATTGCTGTGAGCTTAGTTGCCATATTGACCAGAATGTTCGGTTTCACTGCTCGTGTAGTGAAACACCACTTTCTTCTATTTGACTGACTACATACGGTCACGGTCTGCGGTGGCAGTATCTTGTTTCACTTTTTCATCGTCGTTTTTTACGTTTTTTTTTCACGAAGTGCAAATTTTTAACGCATCTGTTGTTGCATTTGATATATAGTGCCTCCCATATCCAGGGGCATCTCAAAACACTTTACAAAATTTACTGTAAAGCCTGTATATTTTCTAGGTGAAGGCAGCGGCCAGTTTGCATACAGCAATGCCCACAAACAGACATGAATTAAATGAACATGTTTTATAGATATGTTAGGTTTTGTACTTGTGGCAGGGATTAAGGAATCCAATTTTTTTTTAACTGAGTCTAAAATAAGGATTTTACGTGGTGTTTTCTCTTCAGTCTTTCTCCTTCACTTGTGAAAATTTGGATTTGCAACGAGAATAATAAAATCTCATATCATGGATAAGTTCCGTAGCAAAAGAAAATAGGAGAAAGAATCTCGACAGGATTTTTTTTCAAAACAAACAACTGTACAGTATTCAAACCCATTTGCACATTTATAAAATTCTGTTTTAAATAAACATAAAAATAAATACAGGTGGATGTCAGATTTAATTCACAGAGCACTTTAAACACAAAATTGGTCATCACATCATACATATTCATTTTTGATGCATTTGTACAACCGGGGTGAAATGGATCAAATATTTGCTTGGAACTCGTAGAAATTCATTTGTATCTGAATTTCAATCATTGTGCACTCTTGTGTTTGGCAATGTCTGGTATTATTTTACCCTCCGAACAGTTTACTCCATCCAGCCCGGTGGCAAAGCTGTCGCTATAATAGTCCATGTTTGATACATGGTACTGTTGACAACTTATATTGATTGAGCAGATAATAATTCTGAAATAAATTTCTACTTGTATTTAGCATCACGGGCTTTATTGTGACTAATAATGGCAGCTATAGCCACACATTCTTTACCGCTCTTCACTGCAACATTTTTTTTTTACAATAAATCACATATATATTTGGAGTGTTGAGCACTTTGATTCTCCCCCCTCTCCCCCCCCAATATTCCTGCAGTTTTTGTTTCCACCGGAAACGCTGACAGCAGAAGTTATATTGTACTTTTCGTTGTTTCTATTTTTCTGTAAATATTAAGGAATTTGGGGGCAAGAGCTAGAGAGCGGAATTCATTATTTAAAAAAGTGATTTTATAAAAATAGGCTGAATGGTTCAGGAAATGTCATTTTCGTGATTTTTAGACTCAGATTTATGTTACCTTTTGGAACTGTTAATACTTAAATCTGCACTAAATTGTATACTCAATGCAGAGCTAATTCCCAAAGGCAGACTAGGCAACAGAAACCTGATTCATTAAATATACTACTGTATCTGTGGTTACATTACTGTATAGAGGTGTGATCTAGAAAGTGGAGCTTTTACACTTATTCCTTTGCACGCAAAACTAGCTTTTCAGCAATGGCAGTATTTATATCACATTGTAAAATATTATCTTAAATGGACCCTAAAATAAAATAACAGAAATAGCAAATAAAATCGGAATTATGTGCCTTCGATTCTATGAAAAGTCATACACAGATGATTTTTTTGTAAAATTCCGATAAGCTAGTTCTCCTTTCATTCCTTTGCGGAGAAGGTACTTTTCTTAATTACGCTGTTTTATGTTCATTAAAAAAAATCTTTTTTTGTTAATCTCTTAAATCAATATGCCTGGCCTCTGGTATAAGAGTGTCAGGTTATCATGTTTCTGTGATTAAACATAACTTGTGTTGCAAATCAATCAGCAAACTAGTACGGTGTATATTGTGTATAAAGACACCTCAGATGACAGACCATTTGGAGAATTTATCATCAAATTCTTTACTGAGACAGTAATATGAACCAAAGTTTGGCCACCTATAGAAACCGAGTCACAACTGTTTACATTTTGATATATGAGCTACCAATATGTTTTCAAAAATATACATTCAAGATTTAACTTGAACAATTGTTTCTAAATAAATGTTATATTTTTCAGATGCTGTTCAGTGGTCAATCTGTGATAAAGACTTGCAGGTAAGAAACTTGGAAATGAGCACATTAAGGATAGAATTTTGTGCTTAATGATACTTTTTCTATATTTTGCATTTGTAATAGAATTCTGTTGGTAATGCTGTTGGTAAAACAGGAGTTGTACTTTTGTGTTTATCCCTACACACTCTCCTATTCACCTGACCGGTTTGTAGTTTGCAAGTTTATAACCAGCAGTTTGATCATATAACATTATTCTTTGGGGGAAACGAAACAGTCTTAAATATATTTGGGGAAAAAGTACATTAAACCAAACAATTTAACAATTTGATGAGGGAAATATTGTTGTGTTGCTCAAGGTTATAAAAATATGTTTTGAAAAAATAGGGTTGGATTTTTGCCAGGTTTAGTGGAACGTGTTATCGCAATTCCACCACAGCATATGCAAGTAAGGAGTGCAGTTTTCCAGCTATAGCAGTGAACTATTGTAACCTGGTTTAGAAATGTTATTGCTCTTCATGCTTGTTTTTCAAATGTAAGCAGCATACTGTACTTGGGAACAAGTGTGAACACTGAACACCACACTATGTCAGAGCATTATATAATATATTATATAAAAACAATGTATTTGACTGTTTTCTCCTCACATCTCAGATGTTGCTTCCTCCCCGGCTATTTAATTGTCCGCTGTTCTTTTCTACTTTTGTTTGTTTGTATCGTATACGTAAATTTCTTCTTCTTGTTATCATTTTTGTGGAGGTGCGGGGGGATCCGTCGTTTTCTGTCAGTCCTCGCTTTCTCTTTCATTTCCTTTTTCGGCGTCCTTTATGCTATTCTCCTCTTGGGAAAAATTAAGAACGGTAAGAATAAGGGTAAGAACTTGTGGTAGTGGATGAAACTAATTTAATAAAAGGTGGAACGGAGAAGCAAAAGATGGAAACCTAATATCTATCCAAAACAGCAGAGGAAGTGGACAAAGGAAGTGAGGTGAAGCAGCAAAAGGAAGAAAAGAAAGGGCCGACAATTAGACATACAAACTTAAAACGGGTAGAGACAGCTGGATAGGGGATTAGCAAACACTGAAAACAGTGAGACACCACACACAGCAAGCACTTGACGGGAGCTGAAAAGAACATAAATTCTACAATTAGTGTTGGGTTACTGTTCAAAATTAAATGAGGTCATTTTCAGATTGCCGGCATTTTCCAGACTGAAGACAATTCCCTTTTCAAGTAACTTTGCAGAATTCACGTGCAGGCTGTTTAATGTTTTCATCCTATGAGTGATATACTTTAGAACACTTGTTTTCTGCGATGCTGTGCTGTAGGACCAACGTGTTATGATTTGTTCCAGTCACAGGTTACCAACAGATTTAGACGGAACATCCAGAGATACTATGTGGAGAATCAAAATGTGCATTGCAGGAATTGTAACAAGCGGGGGCATTTGACCCTAAACTGCCCATCACCGAAGGTAATGTGCTTCAGTCGACAAAGTCTTTTCTTCACATAAAACACACAACAAGTGTTTGGCCAGTTGGGAGATTCTCGGCTGGTGTAATAATATGTTCGGTGTAAATGATTGTTATTTTCATTCGGAAAACACTCACCTTGTGTCTTAAAACCATGATTTTAGGAAACCGTGGAGGAAAATGTTGTGATTTGCAGTCTTAATAAATTCTCACTCGTGATAACTATTGCAAGGGACATCGTTTGCAATCGGTTTTGCCGATTCCACTCTTTCTTGGATTTTACACAATTTACATTGGTGTTTTTGAAGTCTTAGTCGCAAGATTGCCTTTTTATCTTTTTTTTTAGTTTGGGAATTATTTATTCACTATCAAGTGAAGAAGCGTGAAATGCCCGATCTCCTCAACCGCAATAAAAAGTTTCTGATGGGCCGGGCCAGTCATTGGTAATGATTCTCGTATCACATATTGCAAATTTCCTGTCAGACTGCTGACAGATTGTTCAAAATAAAGTTGGTTGTTTCAGCTCCAAATAAAGCCTGGCTTTAATGGTTACAGTGCTTCTAATTCTTCCCTCTGATAACTTAATGTAGTATTGCAAGAATTTTGTATACACACTGCAGTCCACAATTACAAACACAATTGCTCAATTTGTTCAACAACAGAGCATTGTGCTACAGCACAGGAAACCCAATGTTTAATCTCAGCCTCTACCAGCATTTGAACTTGGTTGTCTGCAGTGGATAAGAATAAGAATAATAATTCTTGCATCTGATATAGCGCCTTATCACGTCTTCAAGACGTCTCAAAGCGCTTCACAGGATATGCTGTAAAGTGAATTGACTGTGTGTTTGTGGGCGAAACTCAACAGCCAATTACGCACAGCAGCGTCCCACAAACAGTCGTGGATTGAATGATCAAATTATTATTTTTTCAAATTTATTTTTTGTTTTGAAGGGTTTATTACCCCTGGAAAAGGAATCTGCCAATCAACTGACATCCGGGTTCTTACTTACTGCTAGGTAAACGGAGGCGTGTGGAGTAAACAAAGTTGCCCAATGTTTCGCCCCCTGCCCGGAATCAAACCCAGGTTCCTCTCGCTTGCGAGTGCGAGTTGCATAAACTGTCCCGTGTCAGTTGACTCTGACACAGGACAGTTTATGCAACAGTACAAGTTAGTGTCTTGAGTTGAGAAACAGACACAGTGTAGAGTCTGAGGACACGATTATTAATGTCATTTAATGAAGACTTTGGTGGTGGTGTCACATTGGTGATGTCTGAAAAAGGCACAATTCAGACGATTTCATGTCTGTGGGTGAAGGAGGAAATGCGAGAGTGAGGACTAAAAAGTGGTTATATAATTTTTAAAAAAAGCACAATCTGCCTTTATCCATTATGGTCGACATATTCAGCCTGATGTTATACAGATATTATTTCAGACTAGGGCACCACACAGTGGTGGGACCCACTCTGGCAAGTTTACAACTTCAGCCCCGCGCTTCCACTGTATTGTTTTATTTTTCCTCAATCTCCGTGGTGTTTTGACGTGTTTTGTAACCTCGCAAAGTAAGGCAACGCGGTTGTGACCTCACACCAGTTCTGAGGCTAGGTTCAACCGAATAACTATCAAAATTCGCATCAGCCATCGGCTTTGCATTCAAACGAAGGAGAGGACGCCTTAGAAATCCACTGCAGCTTAGAGCAGCTAAAATCGATGAACGTTTCGGTATCGGGAGCATTATTACGAATAACCTTTTTTTCTAAACAAGAGCTGTACCCTCGTAGAGTGAGCGAGAGTGTCACTGATACCCAGTTTAATACAGAGAGGCAGATGTAAGCTTGACGTCCGTTCTGTTTGGGGAGGGGAAGTGGGGGCATCGTACTTGGGTGGCCTTTGGCACCATCTGGTGGCGAGGGATAAAGTGGTCTGGGAGCACACCAACCTGAAGAAAGGGGGTGGTGTGGGGGGGTGGGGGGGGGGAAAAATATCAAAAGGAAAGATAGGGAAAACACGCCCTAATAACCCCCCCAACGCCCCACGCAAAAACAAAGAGAAAACCAAATTGTATTGTCGCAAAGAAAATTTTGATTCATTCCGCGGGTATTTTTGGCCCACGGGCACCTCTGCCACGGGCATTGATTTTAAAAAGCATGAGATAGTCTCGGGCAGGGCGAAACGATGGGCAAGTTTCCGCAACTCCACGCGCCTCTCTGTACGCCCAGCAGTAAAGTAGGTGTGGGCAGGGTCGCTTTTCCGAGGGTAAGAATCCCTTCCAAAAAAAATAATAACTATTTTTTTATGTGAAAAAATAATAATTTGGTCACTCAATTCCACAACCCCGTGGGGAAGCGGTAAAGAATCAAGTCAATGCATTTTGGAATCTGGTCTTTAGGCTCCACGTCATCTGTTGAAATCAATCCCTCTTTTGTGTTTGCTTGAGTAGAATGGCTCATGTAATATCTGGAGGTTGCGTTATGCCCAGCGATGGTGGGTCCGTGCCCTATTTAAAGTTCACTGGGTTAAATCTGCCCTGTCAGGGCGCTTTGCTTCTTGTATCCTGTGAGCTCAATTTCACATTCTGCCTTTACCGAAGACCCTTCCAGGTGGCTACAGTACACGAGGGGAAGGCATAGAGTTGCCTCTGCAACATCACACGCTTGACAGGAGGCTCTTGACAGGGGGTTGATTACATCAATACTTCAGTCAAGAGCTTGCAGCTTCAATTGCTGACGTGATTTCTCTTGCCAGCAGATTCCAACCCAACCCTTCCCAACAGGTTACCCCCGAGGCGACAGGCCCTCGGGCACCCCTGCCCCAGGTTGACCAGCGGGAAGTGATTCAATGGCAAACGGGGGTGAGGAAGGAGAGGATGAAACTCAGGATGAATTGGGACAGCCCAGAGCTCAAATATATCCGCTGCAGACGAGCCTGAACCTGGGATTGAGCTGTGTTGCTCTGGAGCTCCTAAAGGACTAACCTTTTGGGGATTGTTTGGCAGTTTAGAGGGACCAGGAATTGGTGCCAGAGTTAACATTTCAACAGCACTTTGTGTAAGGCCTCAGCGAGGAATTTTGACATCGATCAGCACAAAGTGAATCATTTGAACGTCTTCTCACGTTTTTGTAACCACAGTATTTGAATAGCTTTGCACTGAGCCATTTATTTGTGGTGATGGGCATCAGCCAAAGTGTTTCTTTCACTTTGTGCCAAATGAGGGTGACATAGCTGAGATGACAAAGGATTGTGTGGCGAATTCTGAATGTGAAGCCCTAACATGCTGCCCCCATAGTTCAACCCAGGTAAATTCTAAACCCTCTACTTTCAGCCAAATTATTTTTCGAATATAAAATGCTCACAGGAATATTAATAATAATAATAATAATAACAAATAAGCACTGATCTCCACTCTTCACACTGGAGTTCTGATTGATGGAGGACAAGTTAGGAGTATGCAGATCTGTAACTTTTTATCAGATGATGCCAGGAAGGAGAGGTTTTTTTTTACATTAGACTGTACTATTGATTTAAACAAAAATTATTGCAATACTAATATCTGGTAAGTTGTAGAACAAAACTACAGTAAAACTCGAATAAGTCTTATCTTTATAAATCATATAAATACCTAAGTTGTACATTCACCCGAGTCTCATTCAGTTTCCTATCAAAACCACTTGACTTCTTTGCATTACTCGTATTAGTCACCTCCTAACTCGTAGTACCGCTCCCCCACTCTCCATTACTCCTGCGCTTACCGGAGGCCTAAATGACGTCCTTACCCGTCACGCATGTGCACTTACCGACCGCTGCATTGAATCGGGGGAAACATAATCTTCATCTGTCAACACGTGCGCAGAAGAACTCCCCGCGATTCAATGCGATTCCAACGTTTCAAGACACATTTTGAATCACAGGAAATGCAGTCTTAACCGATCACTGCATGCACACTTACCAGCTACATTAAATTACCCTGACGCAGATTGTGTAGATTATTGATTAAATCAGATTTTCTACAATTTATACAGTTTGCCTGCAACTCGGACTTCACGTAAGTCATATTAAATGTTATGGGCCCGACCTATACTACTTATGTGAGTTTTACTGTATAATTAAGCTTAGGAACTACATGCATTTGCTGGGTTTAACTAATTCTGATAACCTGTAATTCTTTTCGTAAGTCAGTGAACCAAAAGATACCAAGTTACCCCTGTACTTGTACTATGGAATGCTTTGCCTAGTTGAGCGATTTACATCAAAGTAGAAATAATGTACACTACATGCAAACAAAATTTAAAATCCTATATCCAGTGAAACAGTGCTCTTTGAAGAATTCTGTTGGGGGAGGGGAGGGCAAGTGTTTTAGTTTCAAATTAATTACCCACCCTAACATTTATGAGGATGTGATATTCCATAGTTAACAAAATTGAAATTGTCTCTTCATTTACAAAACTTCCTGTGGGATTATTAACTAATATTTTATTGCATTGTTCTTTTGAGAGTATTAATTTGCTGGAACTATTTTAAATATGAAGTGTAGCTGTCCTCTGCATATTAATCAATGTAAAGTATCATAAAGCAAAAGATGACAATAATACAAATCAACAGCATACTCCATGGCCTCAGAAGCTAATTTATCCCAAACCTGAAGGAAAAACTGAATTTTTATTTTTTAAATGAGGCCTATTACGTACAAAACCCTGGCAAAGATTTATAATCTGAAATTATAAATATAAATGCAAATTTATATTCTGAAATTACAAATATCGAAACGTATTGGAAAGTGATTGAAAATCAGTTCAATGCTTTTTTTTTTGCTTTTTTGAAAGAAAATAACTGTCCCTTTTTTAATTCATTAAGAGAATTTATCAAAAAAAAAGTACCCAAATAATTGGAGCCTAAAAATTAGTTAGTCTTTGTAAGATGATTCTGTGTAAAGTCACAACAACCGTAAATCTGTTTTGTGAATCCGCTTTGGGGACGTCATTCTGTCATTGACACCTTTCTTTTTGAAAAAATATATATATATATATTAAATGCTCTTTTTTTTTTGCAGAAATGGCCCGCCTGTTGTTTGTGTGGGGTTAGAGGTCACCTTCAGAGATATTGCCCAGAGAGGTATTGTACAAACTGCAACATGCCTGGACACTGTTTTCAGAAGTGCATTGAAGGGGCATATTGGAAAAAACAGTGTCGTCGCTGTGATATGGCTGGCCACTACTCTGATGTGAGTATTCTGTTCATGAAAGAAACATAGACAAAGCATGTCAATGGCACACACGCCTGCTATTTAAAATGAGAAGGATGAGTACACTTATGAACTCCCAAAATGCTCGTACCAAACAATCAATTTACGCACGTTCTATTTCTTTCTAACTGATGGTTCTTGGTTTCGTCTGTTTTCGCACTGAAGTACTTCTGTTTCGATATTTTACGCGCAGTATTGAAAGCATTCTTATTTTTTTGCTAGGCTGAGATTTCTTCTTGACATCTTTGGATGTTCCGAAATCTTTATCCATTTGCAATATTTCAAAACTTTGCGATAATACGTACACTTCGACGTATAAAATGTCTAGATTTTAAAGCGCGGAGTGATTAAGTGTGGGACCGCACAGAAGGGGTAAAAACACTTCTGTTTCTGCAGAACTAACTTCCCGGTTGCTTGACCTTGTCTCTGGCTGCAACACTGAGCTCGCTTCCAGTTTGCAGCAAAGGCATCTTTAACAAAAACAAAGCTGACAAAACACTAGAGATTGCAGTAAAAATAGAAATGTAAGTTGTCTACAATGATTGTAGTCCTGGTGCTAGGCCACAGAGCAGTTACTGTTATAAGACTTTCTCTGAGTGGAACGGATGCAGCAGCAGGGTCCTGAGTCTCCTGGGCAAGCCGCTCGCTCATTAGGACTTGCCATTACCAGTGCCAATGGTTATGCATGTATGTGACGTGCATTCTGTTATTGTGTGCTCTGCTTGTCAGTGTGCAGTTTCCTGACATTCACTTATGTCACTCTTTATTCAGAAAGGAAGAAGCTTTTGATAATTTGACAAGACAAGCTCTTAAACGATCTAGGTCATGGCCTTCACTGTCTGTGATTGTGAACATATTTTCTGAAAGCCCTGTCAGTCATCACAGCTACATTTTCTCCCAGAGAGCAACTGGCAGAATGGGATTTTTGCTAATTTACCCATTTGTGGTTATGTATACATACAGTATCTGGTGTGTGTATATGTATTTTCTTTTTTCCTTTTGCAAATGGCAAAACAGTGGGTTCGATTTCCTGTGTTCTGTTCCCAGCAGGATTTTGTATAAAGGTCCTCTGGTACAAGACAGACAACTGTCTAAGGATAGCTGAAAGAAGGAAAGGCCGCTTAGTGGTGTTTTGTGTTTGTTCATTGTTGTGGAAATATGAGAACTGGTGGCAAGGGCTCTGTCTATTGAGCACTCAAGTCTGTGTCAGCTGTCGGGGCCTGTTAAAAACTGAGTTTTATTTTCTTTGATGTTCACGTTGGAGAATAGGGAAGTCGGAATTAAACAATAGTTGAACAAAGCTGCATTTTTTTCAAAACCATAATTTGCACCTGATAAATTAGACAAGGAGAGGATGGGTAGGCTCAACCCGGCATCATGACGGTTTAATGCATTTAAGCACTGTCGAGAAGAAATGCGCACTTCCTGTCAAAATGATGCACAAGTATATTTTAGAGACAGAAGGGAAAAAGACAAAATCAGAAAATGCAAGCTGAATGGACTTGGAAGAAATGGACAATTCAGAAAGTAGCATTGAAAGCTAAAGGGCAAATGCTTCCCTATTTCTTGGCTCTCAAACTCTATTTTGAATATTTATCTCTACTACAGAGTGAAGCAAATCAATTTCCTTCTGCAACCTGTATCGTCTAAACTATGGGGGTGTTGAATTACTGTAGAATATTATGTACATTCTACATTGTAATATACTACAGGGAGAAAATACTTGGAATACACAAATATGCACTAAAATAATTAACAGTCAGCAAGAAAAATACAATTAATTGGTTCCCACAGTGTCATAGCCAGAGGGTTTTTGAAAACTATTTGTTTTATTAGACATTGGCATGGAACAACATACAACTGTGTCTTTAGACCAATGAGACTGACCGACTGTATGTGTGTACAGGTATATACAGTACACACACCCTTTGTGTGTATAGAGTGAAGTAAATGACACCAAAATGGCCACTTATTATGTTTCATGATATCCAGTCGGAAACAGGAAGAAAAAACTTTTGCCCATTCAAACTGAATGTCAATACAAAAAAAACTATTCCTTGAGCTGCTCACTGTAGAAACATTCTCTTGATGTTCAAAATCATACATAGGGTTATACCTGAAAATAGATGGAAATTAGTAGTGTAATACTGAATTTCCATTACTGCTTCAATAATTGCCTTTATTTAAAAAATCTGCAAATAAAATGTTTTTCGATTCATTTATAAAGTAAAATTAGCAGACTATAGAACTGTCAAATATGTTTTCATTCACAATGTTGGAATAAATCGAAGAGTTTTATTCCTGCATTTTTTTAATACAAAAAAATCTGCAATTGGGTCTCTTTTTTAAAATGTTTTTAAAATTTCAAAGATATTCAACGTTAAGTACAGCAAATGGACATATATTGATTATTGTATTGGTAACAGCTAATTGTATATATACAAAAGGTCGTTGAATTGTTAGAGCCAAAGATTTTGATTTACTAACTAACATCAAACAGCTTGTTTTACTTTTTTTTATAAAAATAAAAATTTTGCTTTTAGCTACAGCTCTTGAGTTTTGCTCAATCCCAATCCATTCAAAATTGTAACTCCATATGTGCTTGATGGCTCATGAAGGAAAAATGAGAGGAAAAAACACACTGGGCTATAGACAGTATATTTTTTAAAAAGAAGAAATAGTGAATCCTCTAATCTCCGAAAAGAATTACATGGGTTTGGAAATAGAAGAGGAACAGAAAAATAGAAAAAAAACGAAATGCAAAAATTATCAGTTTCTCCGTGTAATTTAAGTGCACTGATTTCATTTATAAAATCTATTTTGAATTGCTTCTGGGAAATATCTTTAATTTTACTGGTTATGGTCCATTGAGAAGGATACTGCTTGTTATCCACACACACACGTCTGTTAAACGCTCTCTCTCCGAGAGTATCGGTGGGTTTTACCTGCCCGTCTAGTCAAGTTTAGGGACATTTTCAAATGTCTTCAGCCAATATTCACTGACTATTTTCTCAAGATCTGGAATTTATTGCTGAGAAGCATTTGTAATAAGTCTTAACTATACGCCAATCATCCCGGATTCCCTTGTTATTATTTGGAAGGTGTTGTGGTCTGAAAATTTGATGAAAAACTGTTTCCCTCAACAGGGGAAGTTTACATTTCTAAGTGTATTCTTTCTGGTTTAACCTTTATTCGAGCAAAAAACAGAGACTGTACGTTTGATCCGATCATTCATTTTTTTAAGCTTTGTACGATTTGCTTCAAGCTGACATTTTTTTTTCCTCTAGGCATGTCCTGAAATATGGAGACAGTATCATGTAACCGTAAGTAAAACATTTTTATCCAAAAAATACTTTTACTTTCTATTGGAGCAACATTAAGATATTTATTTCAGCATAGCTGAAAATCATTAATTTTCTTTTTTTTTTAAATGTTCACACTTGATGTGTGAATTTTAATCCGTGCTCTGTAACACGTACCATAATGGGCCCTTTTTTGTTATAAATTCAGCCCATAATTGCTGTCTTAAGCTAGTCATTTTTTTTTGTATTTTGGGGGCCATATCTGATCAGGTAAAGTCAAGGAATAAAAATAAGTGGTTTGGATATCTGTGATCAGTGCTGGTGACATGCTGTGAGCTAGGGTGTGTTCCTGGTACAGAGAAGCAGAAGTTACTTCTTGTGTTTTTATCAAAAAAAATAAAAAATCAGACTGAGCAGTTTTGAACATAATCATTCTGGTTTTCCTACCGTTCATTTAAAATACTCAAGGGAGAATTTTTATTTCCTTCAGTGATGCTGGAGCCATATTAGATTGCACACATTGAGTGGTACTTCTGTTGTTTGCGTGTGATACATTTTCTTCAGAATATCTTGAATGACACGAGCTACGTCTTGAGTTTATTAAGGTTTCTGCACCGAAGTAGAACTGACTACAAGTGCATTACCGTCATCATATAATAATGCATTTATTCTATTGTGATAAATTGTTTTTTTCAGTATGAGATGGGTTGTCTCGAATATGTCTGGGTCCTCTTATGGACGACTGATTTAATTGTTGCCACAGTTAGGTTTCACAAGTGACTAATAACCCCCAAGCCGTTGATGTGTGGGCCTTCTCAAAGGAACGGCATCTCAGAATGGTGGACCAGTTATTGCAGCAAACCTTTATCTTCCATTAATTTGCACGGATCTTTTCAAATGATCAGTGGCTTTCCACAAGTTCCGCAAGTATTGGTCTTGAATTTTAGATTTAAGAGGTTTCCTTTAATCATTGTAGTCATTGGCATATTCTGTTGGAAATATTTTTGTAGAACAGTTTTATCAGAATGTGCTGAATTGGCTAAGATTTCGGAGTTGAGTGACCCCACAATTTATGTGATTTTGTAATGGGACTTCACAGATATAATTTCCTGAAAATAAAATTGCTTCAAATTAATCCTGATGGGTCTGAGATTTAAAAAATAATAAATGTTATTTATGGATTGCTTGATCAAGCCTGCCCTGAGCTTGAAAGCATAACTTTATATCAGAAAATCCTAGATCAATAAACCTGATGTAAAGTTCAGTTTTCTAGCAGGACGGGCATGATTAATAGATACATAAATTAAAGTTGATCCAATGGTATTATTCTATATCTGAAATGGCATCTTTATAACTGGATTTCTCCCACCCCCAACGAGATTATTTTGTGTTACCTTGAATTAAAGGACGAGTTCTTGCAGTTTTAATATACAGTTCGTCAGTTTAAAATTATGAATGATAAATTAAATGCCCTTTTTGTGTGGTTTGAGTCCGTGGGAAGGATACCATTAGATGTGAGCCGGGAACAGATACGAACGAGATGTCTAAACAGTGCTGCAATTGCTGCGTTGGAAAATTGATGCCTTAGTGAAATGAAGCCAAACCTGTGAATAATTGGTGGCAGATACCTCCCAGTTTAAAGTGTATTATAATACCATCCAGCCAGAACATTACATTTTAAAACTCGGCCACTCCCTTATGGCACTGGCTCAGCCCTCTGATCTGGTTACCACAGGAAATGTCTGCTTACCTATTGCTCACAGGCGAGAAGACTTTTGAATAAGGCCCCAGACTTATTTAAATGCGGCTAATTTAAACGAATAAGTGTGTAAATAAAAATAGAATTGAAAGCCTGATGTACATTTGATGAAAAGAAACGGTTAAGTTATCATAGAAAATCCATCTACAGGATTTGTTGATATCAATGTTGCTTTCTCAAAGGCAGTTGAATTAATGTTCGGAGGAGCTGAAGGACTCGCTCAGTGTCTGAAAAACTTGTATTTCCATCAGATTTTCTGTATTCTGTATTCTATTCTGCAGAGATTTTTTTTTATATATGTGACTCAGAATTAGACATCGCACAGATATTGCCCACACTTGCATATCATTTGAAGCAAGTGTTGAAAATAATTTTGCATTTTTGGACATTTTCCAAGATTGTTATGATGGAATTTCAAAGGGTTAAGTTGTTACTGTAGGTTTTTGTTGAATGAATCGCTTGAAGCATACTAATAATAATCCCTCCAAAAACCAAAAACAATAATAAATTGTTCATTTTCAATCCATGACTGTTTGTGGGACATTGCTGTGCGCAATTGGCTGCCGCGTTCGCCCTCAAATATACAGTCAATTCACTTTACAGTATATTGTGTGAAGCGCTTTGGGACGTCCTCCCGACGTGAAAAGCGCTATATCAAATGCAAGGATTATTATTATTATTATTATTAAACTTGTTTAATACCAAATGAGACCTTCTTTAAGAATAACATAAACATCAGTGTTGGATACGATAAATTGTTGTTTTCTGCATTTAATCTGATAAAACATCATTGTTTTGGTTGCCTATATTTACATAAAGTACTTGACTAGAAAGGGCTTTTGTTTATTTATTTTGAAATCTGGTATTTATGATTTGTTTGTCGCTAGCTGTTTTTTATAATTTGAATGGACACCAAACGACCATTAATGTTCGTTGCAATAAAAGAATCATGATTCACCCTCTGGGTCATGTCTTGGCATTAGGATGCAACTGATATAACAGTGGAAACTTTCATACAAGTAGAAAAAGCTTAAAATAAATCAGGGTTTCTCCATTTTGATAGAGGGAGTCTAGTTTTAATATGTACTTAATTAAACACACTGGGATCCGAGTTGGATTCGGATTTCATCGCTCTCCTAGCATTGATCAATTCACTGTAACATATAAGCCATATACTTTTTTCTATCAATGTGTCTCAAAGGTACAATACTGGAATGTACTAAGAAACGAAAAATAAAATTGAAGCACAACCCTTTGGTGTAGGAAATACAGATTTCCACCAGCTTGAGATTCAGTTACAACAAAATGCGATTGTAGATTGTGATAATAAATGTGCCCTAATGCACTGAAAGGATACAAGAACAGGAATAGTGCATCGGGTTATAATAACCGATTGTTGCTAACAGTTCATGGAAAGCTGATCTTGAACGAGGAACGAGTTAACAATTACGTCGTTAAAAAAAAATAGCCTCGGCTGGCGTTTTATTTAAAAGTGTGAGGATCCACAGAGCTGAATGGCTCATAATTAAGATGCATACTGCCATCTATTGGAGAAGGTATCGCTTGCTCTTTGGCAGAGAATTTCAAGGCTTTGTTTACTGGCGTTTTGTTTTGCAGGGCTACGTTCCAAAATTATTCTTCAGAGACAATGTGGCGTTAATGATAGTCTTGTCCTTTGAGGTTTCTATAACAATTAGAGCTAGACTCAACTAAATATTGCATGACTGGAAAACATTTGAAATCCATTGAAGAGTCACACTGCCACTTTCTGCAATTTGTTATTTGGGGTTTTCCGTGCACCTTTGCTTCAAACGTCTTTCTTTCATTATTGAAGCATTGAGGGTGTCTGTGACTTGCCTTTACTTTAAAGGCAGGATTTAACAGATGCGAGGTAGTTTGTGTGTCTGCTGGGGATTAGACTGAATGAATCAGACATCAGTCACTTGTCAAGGTACTTGTTTTTGTTTATAACATAATGTGAGATGTAGTTTACCCAAACGGAATTAAATTATTTCAGTGTGAAGTCAGAGACTTCTTTTCTTAAATGGACTTCCCTGATATGAGCCTTGTTGTCACCTCCTGATCTCGTCACAAACTCACAGTTTAGGCTGACATTCCAATGCAATGCTGGGGGGTGCGTTGCCTTGTCAGAGATATCGTCTTTCTGATGAGACATTAACTGTTGCCCCTGTCTGCTTGTTCAGGTGAACGATTCAAACAAAAAAAAGAAAGGAGTTTCTCTCATTGTCCTGGCCAATAATCCTCCAAATAAAATTGGTCACTCACTTCATAGCTGTTTAATAGCCTCCATTAAGGAAAAAATACAGGCCGAATGAAGCTAATTCAGCGCTAATTGAGGGTATTTCTTTTTCTTTGGGAAACTATTCCGTATGTGGATTCTTTATGGGGTGTTTTTAAACTCGCAAAATCGGTTCTGTGCACAACATTTGCCAGAATGCTCATACACATTGGCGGGTCCCGTTATCTGCACTAATTGGGCCTGGCTACAATGTTAGGCAATACTAAGTAAGTCAATACTCCTGATGATGCCAAGGCTCCTGCACTTCAACCACTGACCACCCTCCTTTGGCATTGAGTTGACTCTAAGGCGACTTACCTGACAATGGAATATGGGAATCAGGTTGATTCTCGTGGTGGTATTTGGTAATCGAGTTCCTGAGCCGGGTGGATCACCAATACTTCAAGGCACTGTTGATGACAGGCCAGTCAACCTGCTCATTGGCAGGACTTAGAGGACCAGTCACTGGGGGCAACAATTTTTCCCACTCAACTATTAATACTGAACAGGTAGGGTGATTCTAGATGGACAAAGCCCAGGGATGCTCGCCAGGCAGAATGTGCCATGGCAAGCTACGCAGTTTGAGCTGGTTAGACTCCCATCAGTTCCTCAATGCACACTCTGGGGTCCCCAAACCTTAGCTCTTGCCTGCCCTTGTTTAATATTTTCCTGAACTAGTTAGGGCGTGCATTGAGAGTGTGCATTGCATTCCAGACACAGGGAAATGTCCAGGTGTAGATGGCTTGAAACTGACGTCTGCCTGTTCAGGTGGACGTTAAAGATCCTGTGGCGCTATTCAAAAAGAGAAAGAAGTTTCTTCTAGTGTCCTGGCCAACAATTCCCCCATCCTCTTGATGTGAAAGGTGCCATATCAAATGCAAGGATGACTATTACTTTTTGTTCGTACTATTATTATTAAAATTAGGTCACTCAATCCACGAGCGTTTGTGGGGACTCTGTTGC